CAGTTACATACTTCTCAGAAGGAATAAGCATAAGTGAATTCATCACGAATAAAAGTCAAACATTTAGTTCGCTAATTAGCACCAGACTCCTGGAGCTCTGAGGCCAAAAGAAACAAGCGCCACAAAAATCAGAGGCTGGAATGCCGGCCCAGCTCTGGCAGCGATGGCTGAAAAGCAACATCGGGCGGCCTCGTCTGCCTGCTCCAACCCAAATCCAGCAGCAACGAGGAGCCCGAGGGCTGCAGCATGACCACCCAACATGTGGCCCACAGCACACCAAGGTACCAGCACATCTACAGCAGCAGGCACTGCTGTAAAGATACAGTTAGGAAACAAAAGATGGTGTGTGTGGCCCAGGCCTCTCTTTTTTCCCCGTAGCTCGCACTGGAAAGGCCAAGTTGTTAGCACAGTCCTGACTCTTAACACAGAGATGAACTGTGACAGCTCAGCATCTGCAGGGAAACTCAGACAAGACATTAAATGACTGACTTTGTTTAAGCAGCGACTCCCACAATGAAGCCATGAAGGGCCACCTGCTCTCTCAATACAAATATTTATTATTAATAAAACAAAAAGATACAAAGAGAGCTGCAGTTAGTGTTAGCTGTACCCAGAACACTGGCTGATTCCTTGATCCATAATAGTTTTACCAGCTTTCAAAGTGCAACCCACTTAGCTCAGACCTATAAACATACACGATTTAGTGGAGCTTTTGGTAAGCACCTGTGCAACTTGGACTCAACTGTTTAACAGCAGCAACCTTTGAGAGAAAAAAAAAAATCAACAGAATTCAGAATTACCACATTTTTTTGTCTGTGTCCCCACAAGCAGATTCACCTCAGAGTTCCCCAAGATTGCTGGATAAGCAGCTCCAGCTGCCCTGTGCCAGCTCAGTGAGGTTATCTCCTGGAAGCACAGCTTGGACCTAGTACATTTTTGTCACAAGTATCTATAGCCAGATTTCCGCTTTTAAAGCCAATTATAGGTCTTCACATCACAGTTTTAAACTTTCAAGGAACTTCCCGTACAAGGAGGAAATGACAAATTAATATCTCCAGATGGCTGGAAGGGCACAAAGTGAGACACCGAGCAGTATGAGTTTCTGCTCAAGGAGAGAGCAAAAAGTGAAGTTAATGCTCAAAAGGCAAAGTTATGGCAAGAGGTTTTCACGGCTCAGCTGGGCAAAATAAGGTAGACGAAAAGCTGAGAGCCACATGGTGCATATGAGTGAGAATCACATTCGGGGGAGAACATGATTCTGAGAAGCTCCTGCTGCAGCGCAAGAGCAGCAGGACGGGCAGCACTGGACCACCCATCCATGATGCTCATCCATCAACTGCTCAGAACCTCGGTGGCATGGAAAGGGCTGCACTGCTGCAGACAGGCAGATGGGCATGTCTGCTTCCAGGGAATTCCTCTGTTTCCAGGGAATTCCTCTGTGTCCAGCCAACAAACGCACCACAGCGCCAGGCTGCTAAACAAACACCATCAGAGAGAAGCACAAACGTGGCAGGAGGAATGGGGAGAAGTGGAGCGACTCTCAGGCCACATCAAGCCTCCACTGACCTTGCATGGAGATGAGTCAAATGGAGTGAATCACAATCTTTTTTGTCAATAATGCAACACCACGTGCTGGCCATGCCCGAATGCCTGTTGTACCGTGGCTCCACCACCTCCTGGCTGCTTTTCTTCGCCCTCTCCACTCATTCTCATGTAAGAAAACAGGGTTTAAGTCTGTACACACTTAATACTAGCAGGCAGGGTGGTGAGCAGTCCCCGCGAGGACAAGACAAAATGCCCACCACCCATTGCTGCACGAAAGAGCAAGCTCAAGACAAGCTCAAGTTCAAAGATCACCCGACACCCCACAGTGCCCGGGAGTCCTCGCAGCTCTCTGAACAGTCCCTGAGCCCTGGGGAACTGCTCCCGGGCTGCACGTCAGAACGTGCTGAGGATCATCGGCAACACAACTACTTGAGCCCTACGGCGACTGCACAGCTCCCAGAGCGAGAGATCCACGGGAAGCTGGCGAGCTGCTGACAGAGAAGAACCAACCGCTCCACACGGCCCCTTCCCCACGGCACCAAGATGCTACTTCAGTAGCCATCAGTGGGGCTTTAAGCCCCTTCCAGTCCACTTGCTGGTGTGGAAGCTGAAGCAGCAGCTGTTTGCTGTGGATGGGGAACCAAAGACCCTTAGGAGCTTGCACAGATATAAAGGCTGCAAAATGTACCTAGGGACTCGTAGCACCCCCCTGTGCCCAGAGGGTCCCTCAACGAGCAGGCTGAGGCCATGGAGCAGCAGGTGATGAGGGCACGGAGTCAAGGAGGCTGCACCGTCCCATCCTTGCAGTAATCCCAGCAAACTGTAAAATTTCTTTCTGATATTCACATCAATAGGCAATAACACAAGGAGCAGAAATAAAGCAACAACACCCAATCCAGTAAAGAATTTTTACCACATGTCCTGGTCCTAATGTTTAAAATCTGCGATTTCTTTCATCTCAGGCAGTATAAATTAAAAATGATAATGATAACAGCCCTTAATCAACTGCTTTACCCAAATGCTGAATTTGCCTGCAGGTTAAGAGTGCATATCAGCATTTCTTGACAATTTGGGACTGTAAGTAAAAAATACAGTGCCCCATTGAGAGTGCAGAGATTGGCACACCAGAACATACTCAAAGTGAAATACATCCATAATTCTGGGGCTGCTTGTGAAAGGCACCGTGAAATCTTGAGAGACCACATTAAGTACAGACCAGTTAAATACGTTTTCTTATAATATGTTATAGAAACCATTTCTGAGTGGCATGCAAACCTTCAACCAAATATTTTATATAACTTCTAACACACTGTATTTGTCTCTGGAAATTGGCAGTTTGCACTGACCATAGCAAAACTTAGCATTCAAGCAAGCACATTTTCAGCTCACAACTATACATTTGGCTGGTATCAAACACTGAAAGACAGTTATGAATCAATTCCTCCCCAAGCTTTAGGGAAGTGTATCCTATTTGGCCAGGACTGATAGTCTTTGCTGAAAACACACCTGGGCCAAGCAAAATGAAATTTTGCAACAAGGATGAGCTACAAACTTTTTGGAAGAACAACAATATGGGATTATTCAGGTTGCAGGTGCTCATTAAAGGGAAGCATGAAAGCAACCTCCCACTTTTGCTCCAGTGGAATGGCAGCCAAGCTTGGGCTGTGGTGAAGAATTAGCTGGATAAGACTGTTTTTTTTTTTTCTTCCTATGTGACATCTCCTAAAAAATCATGAATGAAGTGCAGGGCCTGGACTATGTGCAGAAAGATGAGATGCAGAAAGGCAGTGTTGTCATATAGAGAGACAGCGCTGTTGCTTCTTGCAAAACGCAGTGGAGCACAGGTAGATGCGACAGCAGAGCAGAAATTATTCCAGTGTCCTGTCCTGGAAATCAAACTCTTCATGTCAGACTCTCAACAAATCTCACACAAAGTAAATCTCAGCCACCTAATATCACTTTTATGTGATGTCTTAGCCAAACAAGAATATAAAAATCTGTAAAGACTGCTAAATATTAATAGTTGCCTTAATCCCCTTGGAAGCTTATCACACAGCTGAAACAACACGTTGAAGAATATAATCTGAATAGACACCTAGTATAGCTGAGACCTAACAGGAAAGAAGAATTTGCTGGAGAAAACAAATGAATCCTTTTTAAACAGCTGAAAATCCACCAGGAAACAAGCAATCACAGGCCATCTGAAAGAAGCCTCATCTAACCACCCCTTACAACTTCTCCCACCTTTCCAAGTTTGCTTTAACTGCATTAGATGCTGGAAGATTTTGGAGAAAAAACAACTTAGCATAAATAATGTACATTTATTTTCTCTGTTGGCACAATAAAATACAAATTCTGATTCCTCTGCCTTCATCAGGTCTTATTTTTAGTGTTTTTTTTAGTTGTGATCACATCTATTCTCTTTAAAAATAATTAATCACTCTCGTATACACTCTTAGGAATTTCAAAGGAGAAGAGTCATGGAAATGCAAACTGAAATCCAATAGAAATCGAGTGCCTTTTAAAATCCATATTTCCATTAAAATAAGTCAAATTGATGATACAGGTACAACCTGTAGGAGAGGAAGAAGAAAGAATGAACTGACGGCTTCATTTTTGAATTGGAGCTTTTCTCTCTGCTTACCAGGACTTCATCCATCCATTTAAATATGATAAAACATATCTTAAGCCTCAAGATACCACTTTGCAAGCCTTTCCCTCTCTTCAATTTGTGTGCAATCATACCGTATGCAAGCATAGAGCCCTCTACAGTCTGCTGATGCAAAACATTACCAAAAACCACTGCTCAGCTTTTGCAGCCGAGGATTTCATCCCATTCCTCAGCAGGGAGAATGTAAAGGAAAAACAAAATACGACTTCACAGTTGTTTAAAGAACAAATACAAACGTGCACTGCCCCATTCTCTTCCCCCTTTGCAGCCTGCTCCAACAGAACAGGACAAAGAGGCAACCAAAATATTTATTTTAAATAAAACCAAATCTCTCAACAGGGAGCAATTACAGAAACAAACTTCAGGTTGCTTACACAAAAGCTAAGCACATCAGGTTCTCAAAGAGCTTCTAATGCCAGGCTTGTACATTTTTACAAGCCAATGTGCATTTCTATTTTGTTGTTGTTGTTGTTAATATATAATCAATGTAGCCAATCAGTAAGGAAGAGGATTTTCCCCTCCAATTGCTATAATTAGTTTTTTTTTTTTTCATTATTCAGTGTTTGCCACTGGACTTATACCTGTGAAGTAAAAAACATGCTCAATTTCAATAGTTTGGTATTTCAGTTAGAATTGATTTCTTGCACTTTTGTGCTCAGAGTGGTACTTCGGCACAGAGCAGAGGCACTTTTCTCAGAGCTACTGATGCAGTAGAACCGAGACAGTATTTTAAAGTCCCCCCCAGACCTAGCTCCCTCTGGAAAGAGGGAGGCACGGCACTTACTTGTGACTTTTCAGGCAACTGTAGAACCCAGCCATGGCGCGTCCCGGCTGGCGCGTGTGCCCTTAATTCATCCTTGCACGCGGATGCCAACCCAAGGATCCTGCGGCTCCGTGTCCTGCTCACCAAATGCCCACACACACGCTCCAGAAGGGCAGCATGCCGAGGCAATTACTAGATAAAGTTCCTGATCTGAGGCCCTCAGACTCTGCTGAACTGGGTCCAAGAAGGGCTGTGCTTGCTCCATAAATGGTTATGAATTGTTAACTCCCCCTTTTCCTGCCTCCTTCCAGCTCTTGGTAAGCACAGCATCCTAAGTGTAAAATACCATATGGCATTTGATTCCGTCTCCCTGTGGGACTAATGAGAGGCTTGGTTGTAATTAGGATGTGAAGAAGCCCTGAGGAGTATACTGTTATTTTTAAACAGAAAAATGCTACAGAGAATACTTACAGAATCTCTGAGAGTGCCATTAGAAATTGCAGTCATTCTCCAGCACATAAGGGGTGCACAGGACCTTCCAGAACAGCCATTACCCCATCTCACTGTAAATCACAATCTCTTCTAAAAAGCCACTCTGCCCATTAACAAAACGCAACATCCCTGCAATACTGCAAGGGAAGAAGCTTTGCTCCTTATAGTAGCCAGCACATCCGTATTATTAAAATACTGCCTGGTGATGCCCTCTGATGATGCACGTAGCAGTACCGATCCCTCGTTCCCTGGAAAACCATCTAAGAGGGCCCTCATTGGCTGTGGAGGGAGAAAAATACCAACCATTTAATGCTGGGTAGCAGCTCCAGCCACATGGTCACCCAAGCCCTGGGGACAACGTAACTGCACACCTTTCTGGTGTTACATTGCATTAAACTCATAAGCAAATGAATTTGAATTTATCCACTTCCAAAGAGCAGCAGATGAGTCCTGTTGAGGTACAGCAGAGAGGTGAGGCACCGCAAGCGCCGCCAGCACAGGGCCTGTTCCTGCTGCATGCCTTGGAAAGACCTTGGCTTTTGGTTAAAAAAAAAAAAGGGGGATGCGTATTTTAATATGGCAAACTGGCAAAGGAAAGACACTGATTCTGGAAAGATCTGAGGAAAACCACACTTATTCATATTTCTCAGTTAGTACACGATATTTGAATTACCTGGATCTGGCAATACATTAAGAAGGAGTTATTATAACAGCATATAATGAGTTCCTCTTGAAAGTGCTGACTAGCAAGACTAGAACCAAGGTGAATAAATGAGGAAAAATATTTTAACAGCTTTTTCCTCAGAGAAACATGTCATTTGAGAAATGCACCTCTGGAGGAGATCTCCTGCAGCCTGGCCTACAAGTCCCATAGCCCGCTGTGTTAAAGCGGTTTCATAATGATGGAGAAATTAGAAGTCTATGAAAGGACAACTCAATTTCATTATTCTCTGTGAAGCCATCTACACAAAAGAAAGACAAGAGCACATAAATGCCAATGCATGGCCATCACAAACAGGCGCAAAATTGCATTTGAATCCAGTTTCTTTTCTAGCAGAAAAGAGAAAGCTTCCACGTACCACCAGCCTCAGTGTTCTCCATGGAAGAACACCAAATCAAACCTGACTGTGAGAGGACAGCTTCCTCCACCTCTGGAAAAGATAAAGCAAAGTGCAATAACAGTAGTTACTCAATTTTTTTTTGTTTTACTCAAATGTGCTTCACTGTTGCCTTGAATGACTGCGCCTTCCAGATGACACTGTGCTCAAACTCCTAACATAGACAGGCAAAGATGAGCTCGAGAGCTTTAGCCTCTGTCCGGCAGAGAAGGATCACAAAAGAAAAAGTGAAAATCAAGACTATGATTACAGGATAACAAGCACCAAGAAGGAATTCCCAGAGATTACTAGGGAAATGTTCTGACTGGCTTGAAGTACAAGACCTTGGACGTAGGATTGCATTGGAAATCTGACTGGCATGTAGTACAGAAAACACTGCCAACAGAAACATTTATAGTAAAAAATAAAGGAAACCTCATCAGAAAATCATACGTGGATTTAAAAGCAAGAGAGATCACACAGTGCAAAATCCAGTGGGAAGGCCCAAACGCTAAATCCAGTGGTTGGGTGTAATACTCATGGCTTTGGAGAAATTTCAGCATTTTAGCTGCTGTAGAATGGGTTCAGCAGCTTCAAAAGATAAGATTTTTTGCTAAATATGAAACACATTCTGCCTCTCCATCAATTGAAGATGTGAGCTTCACCTTCTGAATATGTTTCCTTTCGCTAATTTTCTTTTTTGTATATTTATTTTTGGTCTTGAAATTACTTACTTGAACACGTAGATCTTCCTCTGTTAGTTTTCGTTTAGGCCAAACAAAGTCCTGTTCCCAGAAGCCGGCAATTTAGCAACACACGTTGCACCATGTCGCAAGACCCTTACTTTCCAAGAAGCACAGACTAGTAAACAGTCATTAAAAATAATTACCTCACCTCAGGATTTAATCCTTTCTGATTCTCTTTGTTATCAGCCTCGAAGCCTCTTCATGGTAGCATTTATTATTCACTGCTCTGATTCCTCATGACTAGCACAGCTCCATACAGCTCCGCGCTGAGCTTTGGAGAACAGGCCTCAGATCTTGCATGCTGATGAACATCGCAGCTCTAAGTCCAAGGATAATCAGTTCAGGAAAGTGGTTATGTGCCCAAAGGTGTGTAGCCTAAGAGCAGCAGAGCTGCCATTAGCTCCTCTGCTTGTCAGGTGCTGAAACAAGTGGGCTGCTCTGCTGCCAGTTCATTAATTAAAGCTGCCTTCACCAAATAACCACAGAACACAGACTTGGGAAAAGCAGAGATGGTTCCTTACAGATATGGAAGGGGGCAAGTTGAGACACCAGGATGCTGAATCAGATCTGGACTTCCTCTAAAGCCCGTGGCTTCGCTTGATTGAAACAGCCCAGTTTAGGCCCATTTCTCACTGCAAATTATGGATTTCCCCTTTGGTTGCTCTCCCTGAGCAGCCCAGCCCCACACCAGCCCTCTGCAGCCGCCCTTCCTCAGGGAAGCGGCTCTCATGGAGCCTCCAGCCTCCAGCACTGTCAAACTTCCCAAGGAGTTTCTTAATTCCTCCAGAGGGAACGAGGGAGGCAAGTCTGAGCAAGGCTCAGCAGCCCAGTCTTTGAGAAATGCCAGCACTAAAATATACATCCTAAAGTCTGAGGGAAAAAAAAAGTTATTTGCTTTACAGGCTCTTTGACCTGCATCATTGCAAAAAGGCTTTTCAAAGCAACTAATAACAAGTAGCAATTCAATGGTAGAAACTCCAAACAAGCTAGAAACCCTGGCACGTTTCCACAGCCACTTCCTACACATACACATGGACACAGGGCGCATGCCAGCAGCCTGGCAGCAGGGGTGTTAGGAGCTACACACATCACCAGCACTTCACAATATGTTTTGTGTCCAACAGATCTACTGTTTTTTTGTTTGTTTTTAGTTGCCTCTTGCAATTAGATCTCTAAGGACTAACCAAATCTTTGCCTCCTTTGCTCTCAGCTAGGAAACCCTTCAGACCTCTTGAAAGGTCCATTTGGAGCTGGCCGGGAGGGGAGTCAGGGCACAGGCATTGCACAAAGCAGCGGGAAGGGGCAGAAGATGTCGTGTCACTGGGAAATCCTATGTGTCTGTTTGATTGTTTAAGTTTTCTATCTATTTTCAAAAAGGGACAAAAGCATCACATGAATTTGTCACCAAGCAAATATGCAGACAAGAGAGGGAAACCTATGGCAAACTTCTAGACCCACTTTCTGGTGTATTGTGCCATCTCTGAACTGACTTCCCATTCAAAGGGAAAACTGTAGTCTCTCAATTTTAGCCATTAGCCTCTGTAAAAATCCAGGCTAATTCTCTCCCCCAAACACTAACAAAGTCCCAATTTGATGGCATTCATCTACTAAGTTTTGCTGTTGTGGGAAATGGGGTATTGAACTGGAGTGAATCCATCCAAGGATGCAGCACCTTGCCACCGCCACGACCACAGAGTGAGCTCTCACACACACCTACCTGCAGGAACATGGACTTCATACAGTGAAGAGATTGTGCATCTTACATGCAAGTTGCATTTGGACGCCTAGTAACACTTAAACCTTGCCTCCGTTGCACAAGGACCTGTTCGGGTCTCCCAGAAAACATTTGTGGCACCAGAGCACCCATCGCCCCATCCAGGAGCAAGGAACACCCAGGTGTGCACTGCACCCTGGCAGCTCTGCTCCCAACAGGACAGGCTGCCGATGCTTCTCCTCTAGGCTCCCAGGAAAGCATCAGGTCGCGAAGCAGGGGAGGGGACAAATAGACTGAAGAAACTAACTCTCCTCCTCTCCACCTCTCATAGCTGTGGCTGCCTGGGCACCACATGCCCCCTGCACCCCTTAGTGCAGGGGAAGCTGCACAGACCCTCTGCTCCCTTCAGAGCAGGGCTGCCCTGCCCTGCCCAATTAATGTTTTCTACTCGTGCATCTCTGAAAAAGCAACCCTGCCACTCACTGTCTGAAGATCAACTGTGGTATCTGTGGTAAATCCAGCAGCTGAATCCAAGTGTAGCTTCTAGTCCCTGTGTCTTTGCCAGCAGGCAAAGAAGTCAATGTTAATTGAGAACTTTCAGACCAGATTTTATACTGCACTTGATCTTGCCTAAGTATTTATAAAAATGTGAGATTCCAGCTGAAGTGCATGTAGAGCACTTCTTCCATTACACCCTGTAATAAATCCTGCACAAAAATCCAACTGCAACCCTGCGAGTTCCTCTCTCCATAACTCATACAGTGGTCTGGAGCGCAGACTGCTTAACTGTGTGCTAACATAAATGTGACTATAAGGAAACACGTTCCTGAAGCAGAAACAGTTTCAGCTTTGTTGAAGTGAGATTCCCTGGCTGGCAAGTGGGCCTGGCTTGGGAATTTTTAAGAGAAAAGCCCTCATTGCTAAAGAAACAACTATACATGCATCACTGTTCAAAGCTGCAGTATCAGAGCTTTCAGCAGACGGGGCTGGAATCAAGCACAATGTTCTGTGGA